AAATTGACTTCACTCTTATGTTGCTGATGTATATTGATGTGATACATGTGCTTTCTCAACTCCGTGCTTCAGATGAAGATTATTCGAGTGCTGGTACCACTATTCTGCTTTTATCTTGTGTCTTGAGAGGAATATGGATAAAATAATTCTAGATATTGGTCAAAAGAAGAACTTGAACTTATATGTGACACTTGAATGGGCATTACAAGAAGATTAAATTTAATTTCTTTGAACTCTCTGATGTGGAATGTGGAGAGCTGCTTTGTTGTGTAGAACTACCTGTTCGGAGTTCACAACAATGTGTCATTTTGTAGAAGAAAGAAAAGTTAGTTAAGGTATAACTGTATTATCTAATGCATTATGTATATTTATTATCACTGTTCTCATGTGTAGGTGGCTGTTCATAGACCATTCTTGTGGCTCCATCTGCTGTACAACGCTTTGGTATAAAACGTTTTGACTCACAGTTTGCGAGTGTAGCTGAATCAGTGTCTGGCATCCTAGTGAGCTGTGTAACTCGTGTGACTGAGCCCATAGTTACCTGTAGCCAGATTGTCAGAAGTGCCAATAGCAAATGCTGCTGTTAGGTTTTTTTTTTGTTGTTGTTTTTAGGCAATTTTTGGTATTGAATGTTAGGTATAGAAAACTAAAAACTGCTTCTGAAGAGTGGATGCTGTGCGTCCATATATCTGCTTTGTGTGAAATGTCAAGAATAGTTGCCTGCCTCATAGGCTTGTGGAGATTTTTTTTTGTTATTGAAGTGAATAGAGAATCATTTACTTAATGTTTTATAAAAATGTCTTTAAAGAGCAATTCAGCTCCTGAATGTGATTATGGTATTGATAAACTGAAAAATACAGGTGGTGAAGACGAGTCTGTCTGTAGGTTAATCGCAAAGTTTAGGGGCTGAAAATCTTGTTAGGACCCATGTGACCCAAAATAGAAACTGGGGAAGGAATTGAGTTGAGAAACAGTACTTCCCCATCTCTTCCTGCATTCTGAAACTTTCAGGTGTTGAAGACATTGCTGATGAGAAACTAATTACTGCTGATTGAAAACAATCAGATTCTAGTCTTGAATGGGATTTGCCAAAGCTGCTAGAAAGAAGCTATTTCTTTCCAGATTCATCTGAGTCTAGTTACAAATCCTACTATTTCTTTCATTTCCCTACCCTCTAAAGAGACAATTATGTAGTGGTTTTCATAGACCAAAGTACAATTTAGTGATCAATGTGTTGACTAATAGCTAGAGAGTTACACCAGACTGACCAGGTAAGCGTGTTTTGATGTGCGTAGCTAAGCCAAAGCGATGAAAGGAACGAAAAGAAGTCTTTGCAGGTTCAAATCGCGTGATAGGATTTGAAAAGAAGCTGCTTTGTACTGTTAGGCTGTCGTAGACTTTGACATTTGGCATAGGTCAAAAGGCTTTTATTTTCTGGTAGACTGCAACTGATAGGACTTTATCCTGCTTTTGTCTCACTCCCCCTGACCCTGACTGTCTGTGTGTTCTTACCTGATTCTGTGTTACAAGTAAGCGCATCAACAGGCTAAAAGTTCATAGTGAAAAACATGGCCTTTTTAGGCTGCCGACAGAGTGCAGTCAGATGTATTGGTACAGCATGTTTCCTAAGAAGGAAGCTTATTAAACCATGAAATACTCATTCCAAATAGCTTAGACAATTAGACTATTCCAAACTGTCTCGGGATGCAGGAGGGGAAAGGTATATCTCCAGATGAAACTCCCCTGAGTTTAAAAGCAGGAAACTGGATGTAGCACATGCTATATACCATCTTGAATTCACAAATTCAGGATATTTTACTATATTATACTGAATAAAAAATTCTCTTTGAAGTTCCTAGATATAGTAACCCAGGAGAAACATAGTTTTATGTAGTCCAACCTCCTATTCAATATAGAATTTCTATAAGAAATCAAGTAATTTTGTTTTATCTATAGTACATTTGCCAGGAAGTCATTCAGCCTTCAGTTGAAAGTACAGCGAAAGAGACAATTCATGGCTTTCCTTGGCAGCTTATTTTAGTGGTTAATAATCTCCCGTGGTAAATGTTTGTGCTGTGTTTCTAATTTGATTTGGTTTGGTTTTGACAACTCAGATACTGCATAAGATGGCAGCATTGGACGAGTAGGAAAAAAGCCAGACCTCAACTACTTAAACTACTGTGGACTGTGAACTTATCTGCGTACACTGGAGCCTAACCTGGAAGGGCTGAGGCACACTTGTGCTCTCCAGTACTTTAGCTCTGAAAGCTATGGTATGAAGTGGACAGGTGAGAGTAGTAAACCTTAACCCTTAAACCAAAAATAGCTTGGTTCACTTGGTTGCAAGGGTTTGATGGTGCACCTGTCCTCTTTGCCTCTGTCCTAGACCTTGGGCTCACTTCTTTGGTCTCCAGAACAGTAGCTGTAAAGAACAATAATTTCTGTCCTCTTCCTTTTCTTTAGTACTGAAGCACCTTCTGTTACTTTGTGTCTGCTGTAGAAACACAAAGCTCCTCCAGCTGGAAAGCACACAGAGCAGGTCCTTGTAGCGCAGCAGCAGCAATTTTTAACCTGTGTGGGGTAGCCCTGCTTATTTTGAAACCAGCAGACTAACAAGTGTTTTTCTATATTGTTGCATTGACACTTGATCTTTCCAGAAGGTTAAAGAATTGCTCTCTTCAGTCCTTTTATGCTCCCTGGGAGACTTGCAGCATTCCCCTGTGTAACAGAACACAGTGTTTGTCTGTACTGGAATTTGCGTGCTAATACACTTTTGGCTTTTTCCATATTTGTGAGCTTCTAAACCTTTCAAAGTACTTAAATTGAATAGCTTATGGAAAGCGAACCTCGCTTGCCATGCACAGGAGACCTCTAATGGGTACAGATTTAGCAATAGAATTATTTGGTTTGTATTTAATCATCAGCTATTGTCCAGATAGCCTGTTTTTTCTTAAAGCCAAAGATTCAAAAGCACCTCTACCTGATGGAGAAAAGGCCTTCAGTTTTCACAGCCCCCAAGAAAGAGACAGATTGAAAAGAAAATGAACTATGCCATCTCATGCAGCTGGTTTTTGTGGAGTGGGGCCTCTATTTTGTATCTTCTTGAGTGTTTTTTTTTGTTTGTTTTTCTCCCCTGTAATTATACTATATGTAAATGAAAATTGAATGAAACTTCTGAGTCTTGAACTTAAATAGGTTCATCTAATTCTTTACTGGTCAGTAGCACTGGGCTTTCTCCTTTTCTTTCTTTTTTTTTTTTTTTTTTTAAACCTGGGCTGGAAGATAACAAGCGAAAAAAAAAACAAAGGAAAGCAAAAAAGACATTACAGTGGCAAAGATCATGTGGGAATTGTTTAGCAGAACATCTAAAAGCAGTATGCAAAAAATAAGGAGAGTGGAAGTATGTTTGCAGCATGTCAGTATAAATATTGCCAATTCAAAGCATTGCTTAGCCTTGTCTATCTCAAAATGTATGAATATAGGAATCACGTTCCCCAGATAAAGTTTATACAAATAGCTCTAGAAAATTGTATATATTTGAAGCAGTTCATAGATTTCGGTGCTGCTTTCTGAAGTAGTACCTCTGGGTCTCCAAAACAGCGCCCCCCTCCCCCCCCCTTACCATCACACCTCTCTGGCCATGTTCCTTGCACATTGCCCCTCCTTTTTTTATTTTTAAGTAAGCTGGGTTACATATGCTTCCTATGCCTAAGGTTTTGTGAGTTATGAATGTGTAGTAAGGTGACAATATCTTAGTATTAATATGCATTATTATATATTAATGAAATATCCTTTATATTGAGTTCTTCGGGTGTCTAGCTCACTTTTCCGATATTAGAGGTTTTCTTCCAGCAGATGGCACATGGAGTTTCCTTTTACAGTATCAGCACCCAAATACAGTAACTACATACATATATGTGTGTGTTTGACATTGACAAATATTCTGTAAATCTCAAGAGTGTCTGGAAGGGGAGATGTGGAG